TCTCTGTGACAGGGTACAGTTGTTCTTCAAAGTGCTGTAACACCCTTATGGAGGGTATCACACCTGCTGTGAAAAGCTGAGATATATCTCTGGTTGGGGATGAGAAAGAGAGAGGTCACTAAAAGAGGAGGACTGGACCTCAGGCAAATGGCAAGTGCTAAAAGATTGTGGAGAGAGGGAAAAAGGCAGCACATATTGCCTGTGTAGTGCAGCAATTCTTTATGAGCATTTTATAAGACAACTGAAATGGGCAACATTTAAACTATTTGGGTATCTGAACTACTACACTGTTTTTAAGTTCTGATATTTTTCTCTTCAATTTTCATAATAGTTATATTCCTTTCCATGTTTTCACGGTGGCTGTTATGTTACTGATGACACTGAAGCATGTATATGGGTGATCCCACAACTGTTACTGCACTTAATTGTGCTGTAGGAGCATCATACTGCGTGTGATTACCTTCAGTTCATGAAGAAAACAGAGTCCACGCATTTTAGTTTTGCTGCCTTATCACTTCAGGTGGAAGACAGAATTTCTAATCTGATAACAGTGTGCATCCCATGCTGGCACAGGAGTCTGTTTATACAGGCTATGGGTGGTTCGAGAAACCTCTGAACTGTCACGTACCATCTGAATTAATGAGGCCATATAGGTCTAAGGTCCCTAAAAAGACCCATCTAGATTAGAATCGATTAACCCTACAGTGGACTGTATTGTATTATGAGTGACAACAGATGTAGGTTTTATTTAAGCATAATTTTATAAAGATCATCAGCTGTAATCTTTAATTAGTGATGATCACCCATATCTTGACTGTGGTGAAAATGTCTCCGAAACTACAAAGCCATATATTTGAAAAGGAAATTTTTGAAGAAAAATAAAAGTCAGAGGTATGATTTATAGAGAGAAAACGTGTTCATAAGATTCAGCATGTCCTATATAGGCAAATAAAATACAAAACCCTTCAAGTATTTGAATTATTGGCATGAATTGATATATCTGTATTCTTCATGTACTTCCAGCTTCCTACTGAAAAAGTATTTCACCAATTAAGTGTAAAAATCAACACATGGCTGGGAGACAGTATAACTAACAGATAGATGTGCTTCAAACCAAATGTGCAGGTTTTAGCTCTACTTATCAATTAAGAATTCAGAAATAATATTCACCAGGGTTCAAAACTGTTGTCTCTGTAGTCAGCTGATACAAACCCTGGAATCCAAATACTCCCGGAACATATACACTGAAATCTAAACCCACCTCTTTTGTATGTGGATCACTGAAAATATACCAACGTGGTAAAAAAAGGAGTGAAAACATAAACTTAAGAAATTATTTTGTCTTGTTAAATATTGCACATCCTATAACTCTGCGTAAGTAATTCCATAAAATAAATTGATAACTTGCTAACATGCCATCTAAATGACTCATCACCTGTTTGCACAGTGTTCATGGTGTCATTTATAAAACAGTGCTTCAGGTGAAGGAATTCAGTCTGAACAACAGGCTTTACTCAGTTATCAGACCTTTTTAATTTTTGTTTTCATATCACAACCTGGTGAACAGGCAGTCATCACAGAACCTATCTAGCCTTTAATTTCCCACCCCTCAATGTTAAATGGCCAAAATAAGAGGTTGTTTTGGAGTGCTTATTGTGACCGTAATGAGGCCTGACACTTGTGACACTTCAGCCATGCAGCCACCAGCAGTTCCATCACAACAAAGGAGCTCTGAGTGCAACACATTGTACTGGTCGGGAGAGTTGTGAGTTTGCAGCTTTGCACAGCAGGTGTGGCCGCACATCTCTGCACCCCTAAATACACACACTCATCCAATCTGACAGATTAGACAATGGCACAAAAAAATGCATCGCTGAGGCTTAAACAAAGACTTCATCTCCAAAGAGACAGAGCTTTGTGCTTAATGTGTTGCCACTGCTAAATTTTCCAAATGGAAAACAATGTGTATTTTATTAATGAAAAACAAATTGAGGCAAAGCGATGACAAATGCACTGGGTTTTTTGACATTTGAAAAAGTGTGCATTCTCTTTCCTTTTAATATTTACCTTCATATCATCCTGCAAATGATTTTGTTAATTAGTTGTATCTTTTGTATGCTTCACACAACAAATGCGAGGAAGCTAGGGAACCACACTAAAAAAAATCCATCACACAAGAGAATACAGTTTAGCAGTCTTTTGTGTAACTAGCTGCTTGTTTCTTTAATACCTATTTAAACAGAAACACAATTGTATGAGCAGGAGTCTTTAAAGTCGTCACTACCTTGGTGCTTGAGAAATTTATTTTTAAAGGAGGAAAATACAGGAAACCTAATTTTCTATTCAACTTAACAGCAACAGAGCATTAAAAAGTGAAGCTAGAGATGTGCATATTTACCATATGGGAATGAACTGGGCATTAATGGGCTCTGGAGGCTTATTTGGAGACAGCTGCACTTATCATGAACCAGGAAAGGGAAATAGCAGCCCTGGTGCGCTGTAGGTCAGTTACAAATGTCGACTTCAGAGAGCCATAAATCTCCAGCATTACTTCAGCAGCCGACTCTCAGAACACCCTTCTAGCGTTTTCCTATAATTTAAAGATTATGTAAGGTGTATAGTGAGCGTGTTCGATGAAAATATTAATTTAGAGATAAATCCTGTAAATGCTCTAAAGCAGCAGCTTCTGCTGAGCAGGATCATCTTCTGGTACATTTCAAATAGGAATTGCTGCTAGTTTTGTCAACAGTAGGAGGTCATGGAACGCTGCCAAATAAAACACGGCCTTTTTCAATAAAATGCTTTCAGTTCTAAGTAGTCACAGAAAATCTTCCTGTACTGTTTTATTACTGATATTTAAACTTTGATATATTGTTTTATATTGACAATTCCTTGACTCAGAAATCTTAATCATGAAATAAGCTGAAGTAAAAAGCAATTAATCACAGTTAACTCCTTCTGGCATGTCCAAAAAAAAAAAAAAAAAAAAAAATTAAAAGTATTTTGTTGTTGCTTCTGAATGTTTTAAAGGCATTATCCTGGCTCACAGATTTTATACCCCACTGTGAGGCTGCTGGTTTTCAAAATCCGATATTTACATGTTGAAGTTTAGGGCTTTTAAGAAAAGTAGCAAAACTTCTTAGCAAATTAACATTTTAATTACTGTGAAATAGAAAGGGGGCTGTATTGTTTTAACTCCATCAGTGTGAGCTATAGGAACAGACCTTTCAGCTCATGATAATAGAACCTTGTGGGTATGTATGCAGATTATTTGGTTTCTGCCTTGTTGATAACATTTTTTTGTGAAACATAGGGATAATGAAAAAAGAGGAATGTGTAATTTCCAGTCTTTCCCACAAGACAGAGTAAAAACAAGGTTAGCTAACATATTTCCTGTGATTTCACCTGACCTGTCCATGCTGTTTGTTCTATGTTCTAGGTTAAACTGCAATTTTGAGGTAGTTTACCCTTCCCTCCTGGAATCCATACAAACTGACTGCGTAAATCTCCACTCATGTCAGGAAGAATGCCAGTAAAATAAGATCCTATTGAGAAGTGACAAATATAAAAACATATCTGCAATTCCTTAACCTTTGGGAAAACTAATGGATTAACAATTGCATGGGGAGTTTGATACGTGCAATTTCTCAAAGTCCAGCTCATTATACTTCATAATCATAACTTCCACTGCCATAATGCCCCAAAATTGGTCAATTGTGAATGATCACAAGGCTCAGTAGAAATCGTGCTTTTTTTACTTCCAGAAGTGATGAATAATACTGCAGAATCAGTTTCTAACTACTGCCATTTACCTACTGGAAACTTTTTGTTTTGTGTTAGCTCATGCCATGAACCCTTTCCAGAGTCTCTCATTTTCTGAAATTCTCCTTTTCCATGAAACTCTCCTTATACTTCCCACATTCGAAAATTTTCAGTTATCAATATTTCAGCCCCATTTAGTTCTGCTGCCTGAAAAACAGTGGCACAATAACCTTTCTATGTTCTTGGTGTGGGAAAGAATTTTCACTGGTACTAATGAACAAGTTACCTGTTCTAAGAAAAAGTTCAAACAAGCTTCTTCCTTCTTAGAAATATACCAGTGTGCCAGTGTTTGAAACACTCCAACTATTCTCATAATTCTTTTTTCATGCATAAATAATGTACTTGATAGTGTCCCATACCATACTCAAGTGAACACTCTTAGTTTTACGATAGGACTGATGTGGACTAATTAGTGACAGGAGATTTTGTTACCTGGACATCTTGATTCAACCTGGGAGAGGACTTTTTCATCTAATGAATAAAAAGAGCTGCTGTTCTTTGAAGAGACAGATAGACAGACAGACAGACAGACAGATGGATAGATAGATAGATAGATAAATTTAACTCTACAGATAAAGATTATAACATAACATATACTTACAGGCCACACTGATTACACAGGCATGAACTGCCTTAATACTGATATATCCTAAATTCACCACATATCACTCCTCAATCATAATGCTTTTATTTAGATTTAGTGTTTTTTTAAGCTTAGAAAAAGAGACTAAGACCTAAACATTCTATGTGCTTTTGTAATTTCCTATATCTGTTTCAGTAGAAGGAAAAGAAAATTCAAAGCTGAAAGACCCATCTCTTTCTGGCAGAGTGACAGATAGCAGCAGCACTGAAGTAGTTTACAGAGTCTTTTAGGGGGATAAACACAGGGCCGTCGTTCTCCTCCTCACCAAAATCGAGTTATCCCATCCCTTCCATCTTTTTCATTCTATCCTTCATCTTCCAGCTTACATAACATCTTCCTTGCCTTGGACTTGGGAAAGAGTTCAGCTTTCACTGTCCCCAAGCTGGCTCCCCATGCAGGCTTAATTGTCTTTCATCTGACACTATCCCAGCAATTCTCCACCAGCAACCACCAGTTGCAATGTTTGATCTCTCCTACCTTCAATCCATATTTATTTGTACATATGTTCTCACTTGGTTGTTAGCCCTTCACCTACCTGACATCCGGCACCTCATCTTTCTCCAGCTCTTATCTGATGTAGTAGCTCCTGCTCTCCCTTCAGTTCCACTGGTTCATGATTCCTACCTGCTGTTTCAAGGCATCAATTCTTCTTAGAATAAGTATTGTCAAAGTCAATTAACAATACAAAAATATATAAATGTTACCCAGCCACATTAGATGTATTCTTTTGGTTGACACTTCACATAAAATTGTGTCCTGAGGCAAAGAACCAGACTGAAAGATTTCAGCTAAAAAGGTTAAAATTTAGTAAAATTAAAAATGATTTAATTATAGTAAAACTATGGGAAATGTCAAGTAAATTAAGCCCTAACAGGAATATTAGGCATACCTTGATATAACAAAGATAACAGTATGTTGGTTTTTTTGTTTTGTTTTGTTTTTGCATGTAAGATAAAGGGAAAGATAGAATATAGTTATGTAAGTGTTAAGTAGATTGTTATTCTAAACAAATAATTCATTTAGTTTGTTTCTGTTATGTTTGTAGTTTTATAATCTCTGCTTTATAATCTCTAAAAAATAATCTCTATAATCTAAATAATCTCTAAAAAATCTGCAAAGCAAAATTAAGCTAGTTTGCCTGAATTAGAACTTTTTGCCTTGGGTTTCAACTTGAATTTTCCTTATCACAGTTGGAGAAGCTGGAGCTGGACTGAGCATCAACAGATGAAGTTCTTGTAGCTTTCATACTTCCCTCCAGGCAGTTTATTGCCTGCTCTGCTCTTGCACAGTAGGGTTTTGAAAGTTGCTAGGGATCTGACAGAAAACCAGGTATGAGTCTGAGTGCATTCTGACAGAGGACTGCCTGTTTCAGGATTTGAGGGGGGAGACAAGGCTTTGTAAATGCATTCAAGCTTACATTCTGCTTTGCAGAACACCTCTTTTGATGATGTCTCATTACTGTGATGAAACTTCTGTTTATTAGAGAAGTCCAGACTGGCTGTTGCGTAGAAGTTCATCCCCCGCTGGAGCTACTGATATGTAGCTCTGCTACACAGGCAGATGTGCCAGTAGGTCCTAATAGTGCCAGATACACCAGCTTGATTTGTCCTTACCAGCTCCTACAGGGCAATGCTTTCATCTTTATATTGTCACTCTGTGGTTATCAATAGTGAATACGCTATTGTTAAGGTAATTCTAGCGTAGCTGCACAAATGAAGCTGTCCTTGGAGTGCTCCCAGAGCATCAGGGTTGGTGGTTGCCTGTCCTCATCTGCCTTACACTTACACTGCATAAATGGCACTCTCTGCCTAGATCACATGCCTGGTCACTGCGGTGGGGCACCTTGCTGACAACTTGGCCTACATTATAAATGTTCTGTGGATCCCCACCATGGAAAATGTGTTCAACTACAAAACAACATCGGATTTTAAATTAACAATAATGAATGCTGGAAGTTTGCACTAGGGCTTACACTTTCAGACAGAGAGATACTAAAACCTTGCTTAGGAAAATTAAATGTAAATATTTCGGTATTTACACAGCTTTGTGAGAAAGTACTTCAAGCAAAAATAGTAAATGGTGTGAGAACAACAAGGGCATTACTGGTGCTCCTTGTAATTGTCATTACTCTTCAAAACTAATGGACTGGAAATTACAAAGAAGATTCTGGTTATTGGGTAAAATTTAGAACTACAGACCAAACTTTTCGATGGAAAGAACGGCTGACTGAAAACTACAGATACCATAACAATGTATAAGTAAGAATTCTTAATGAACTTTATACCAACCAAATTGTTATTCCAGTTAAAATTAAGCAGTAGGTCTGGAGCTCAGCAGCATTCAACTCACATAAGCTACTTGACATCTGTTGGTTGGTTTTAGCTGGCCAGGTGAGTATCGGAAGGAAGGAAGGAAGGAAGGAAGGAAGGAAGGAAGGAAGGAAGGA